ATTAAAGTTGTTCCATTCATTAGTAGTCTGAGCTCAACAAACAGCTGCAAGGAGGAGTTGGGAGAACCCAAGATAATGTTTCATAAAGGAGAGACTTCCAGATGACAATTTTACTTATTGTCTGGTTTATGACTCTATTTTGCTGCCATATCCTTGAATATTTTTCTTACTATAAAAAGTGTAAAAAAATGAGTATGTAACTAAGGGGAAAAGGGGTTTTTAATAATTTGAAATTGAAAATTTCTCTACAGGACGGAAATTAAATTATCTGTTGCAGAACTAGTCCCAAAAGTGCTTTTTCAAGAGGCAACTGGACTTTGTTTTTCCTTGAAGAACTGAAGAAGCTTTTTGGATGAGAAGTGAAACATCTTCAAGGAAAAACAAGAGAAGTCCAGTTGCCTCTTGAAAAGCATCTTTGGGATAACCATGACCTGGATGACTGAGAATCTCCACAGACATGTTGAAAAGCTAATATGCTGGATAAAGCAAATAATATCTAAGAAGAAGTGATTATTTTCTCATATGCCACATAGAAAAGTAACGATACTTCAAAAATAAGAGGAATCAGTTGGAAAGCTATTTTTGTTTTATTGTATGTATGCAAATTCTCTTGGATGCCATATCTTTCTTTCCCTGCCATCAGATATTCCCTCTGGCCAGTGTTTAGAGATAGAACTTTTTTTACAAGTTGTCAACCCTTCAAGGTAGTCCAGAACAAAAGATACACACCACAGGGATTCCAGAAACACTCCTTTACTACCAATTTAATTATATGCTATCAACTCAGTGTTGACTCTTGACAACCACACATTTTCTACAGAATGATCTTCCCCCATCTTGGCCCTTCATATCTTCCAAGGTTCACCCATCACTTTAACTGAGTCCGTCTAACTGACTGCTGGTTTCTCTTTTCTTCCACTTTTTCCATCTTTACTACTGTAATTACTATTATAATAATAGTATCTTCAAATCCTATCTAAGTGTTTCTTGGTCACCTCTCACTAACACAAAGGGTTATTCGGAGTTTTATTTTCACACTTGCTTCAACCACTGGAGCACATAATTGCTTCTCAAAAGTCTTTCTTTATCCAGATATGAAGTTCCTTTATACAAGCAATAGGCTTTTGATAGCAACAGACTCCCTGAAGCATTTTGAATGTTAGCAAAATGTTCTAATGTGAAGAACATGTAATCAGCTATTATATGGAATAATATCCGTAAGTAAAAACCATTAATACTCTGGGATTGTTCAACTTTTAGCAGAACACTTGTCTATATGAAAGTGGAGCAAGACTATGATTTGTTTCATGAAGATATACAAAACAGATGGTTCTCATTCTGTCTCAGACTTGGCTCAAATTCAGTTAGCAATTTAAAGTTGAATGATTCGATCCTATTATAGTCTCCAGAGCTTCTTTGTCTCCTATTGGCAAACTACAGATTATCAGATAAGCGTGGCTGTTGATATCATCTCCTTAGATAACTAATTTATGGTAGATTTCAGAATACAGCCTGAACTCAGCAGAAGCTCAGTTGTATAACAGCCATGACATTTCATTTTCTGGATCTTTATCTCCAAAGCAGTAAGCAAGGAAGCCATGCTGGAAAACTAGGAAAACCAGTTGGTCTAGCAGTACTGTGGACTAATAATTAATGGAAGGAAATTAGCAAAGGCAAAATAAAGTGGAAGTGGAAAATACAAATAGGCTTGCTTTTTGTGAGAAAAAGTAAAGCAAGTGAAATCTGAGAGATGATGAAAATATAACGTATTTTGAAAGTAATTTAACTTTCAAAGTTGAAATTGAAAGAAATTGACACAATAATGTAATCTTACATTTAGTATCTTATTCCAAACGGGGAGATCACAACAGTATTAATGTTTCATGTTATTATAAAAAGATATGTTTTTGTTAATGTTTTGGTTCCCCTTTTATGTTTTCCCTAATGAGGGATACTCATTACATGGATATGCAACAACTCAACACAGCTAAGTCATAACATGGAACTATTTGTATAGCAGTGTTAACATCCACATTATAAACCACTGTTAGAAAAAATCCAAATCAATTTGAGGAAATGTGATGAATAACCAGTAAAGAGATTAACAAACAAACCAAATGACTGGACATGGCACATAAAATGCAACACCTGAAAACAATTTTCAAATTGCTCTTTGCAATCAATGGACTTGTCCAGAATAAAACAGAAGCAAACAAAATTAGAAAATAAATGGGGATTCATCAGAATTTATTATTAAAACAGATGCAGAAATCAACCTGTAGGAAAACAGGTAGAATCTGTCAGGGACAAAAATGTAATGCATCAGAGACAACAAATTAAATACAGATAGTGCTCAAGTTACAACAGTTCATTTAGGGTCTGTTCAAAGTTACAAAGGCACTGAAAAAAAGTGACTTACACCATTTTTCACACTTACAACCATTACAGCATCCCCATGGTCACATGATCAAAATCTGGACGCTTGGCAATTGACTCATGGCGGTTGCTGTGTGCCGGGGTTATGTGATCACCTTTTCCAACCTTCTAACAAGCAAAGTCAATGGGGAAGGCAGATGCCCCTTAACAACCATGTTTAACTTAACTGCATTGATTAACTTAACAAATCTGGCAAGAAAGGTTGTAAAATGGGGCAAATTCACTTAAATGTCTCACTTAGCAACAGAAATGTTGGAGTCAATTACAGTCGTAAGTCGAAGATTACCTGTAATTGGATATTTTTAGAGAAGTATTTGTGAAGCAAAGCATCATTCAATTTTTACAACACTTTTAATGTCTATTGTTGCAGCTTGTTGGGAAAAAAAAAGTTTTATTATGCAAACAGTTCTGAATAAACAGACCAGTTCTACTTTGCTACTCTGAGAACAAAATGTGAGATCATATAGATTTGTCTGCTAAATAAAAGCATCCATACTTTCAATTTAATTTTTAATTTTAAGATCAAATTTTGAACATTAAGCTGTTTTCAATTTTTTTCAATTCTTTAGAGTAATTACAGCTAGTCCTTGACTGACAACCATTCATTTAACAATAATTCAAAGTAAAATAGTCCTGGAAAAAGTTTACAACTTGCATGTACAACCATCACACCATCCCATCACACCATCCCATGGTCACATGACTACAGCTGGCAACCATCTCACTTTTATATCCAACTGCAGTGTCCTGCAATCATATGATCACTATTCAAAACCTTTCCAGTTTTGAAAGAAAACATCAATTGGGAAAGCTGGATTTGTTTAACGACCACAATAAAAATGGTCACAAAATCAATTCGATCATCTGATGACTCATTTTACAACCTGACTTAAAACTTAAATTCCAGTCCCAACTGTAGTCATAAGTCGAGGTCCACCTGTAATCAACACAATTCAATGTAAGTAGTATACAAATATATTTTCTCATGTAAATCAGATATGTGGCTTTCCTTTGATACATTCTATTGCATTTTATAGAACTGAACTGAATATTTCATTTTAATGGTGGCACAATTTATGTTTATATTTGAGGACTGCTAGCAATAAAGGGGTATGGATGAAATGTGAAGTAAGCCTCACAACACATGTGTACATACCTGACATTCTTTAAGAAAGACAAGAATCAAAATGAAATAATCTTTAGAAAAAAAATTAAAGAACATAAGACATTATCGTTGATGTATACCAGATAATTGAGAAAGCCAAAGACTACAGAAAAAGTCAATAATAATAATAAAGTTGGAAGGGACCTTGGAGATCCTCTAGTCCAACCCCCTGCTCAGGCAGGAAACCCTATACCATTTCAGACAAATGGCTGTCCAGGCTCTTCCAGTGTTGGAGCATTCACCACTTCTGGAGGCAGGTTGTTCCACTGGTTAATTGTTCTAACTGTCAGGAAGTTTCTCCTTAGTTCTAGGTTGCTTCTCTCCTTGATTAGTTTCCATCCATTGCTTCTTGTCCTGCCTTCAGGCGCCTTGGAAAATAGCTTGACTCCCTCTTCTTTGTGGCAGCCCCTGATAGTGGAATACTGCTATCATGTCCCCCCTCGTCCTTCTCTTCAATAAACTAGACATACCCAATTCCATCAAACTTTCCTTATATGCTTTAGCCTCCAGTCTCCTAATCATCTTTGTTGCTCTTCTCAGTCAAGATATGGAATGTCCTTAAAAAATGGGAATACCAAAATAGTTTATTATCCTTAGGCAAAACCAATACAAATCAGGAAGTCACAGTACAAATATAACATGGAGAAACAAACTGGCTCCAGTTTGGGAAAGGAATGGGGAGATTGTATGCTCTCCTTTTACTTATTCAAACTATATACAGAATATATCTTGAAGGTAGCTGGATTAGAATGAGGTAAGTATGGTTTTAAAACTGGAGGAAGAAACATCAATAACCAGCACTATGCTAATATTACTCCAACAGCTGAAAATGCAAAGGCTGAAGGCTCTGGTAAACAAAACTAATTGCAACTTTGGAAAGTCAAGTTTGCTCCAGCTTTTGAATATTCCTGGTGCAAACTGACTGTTCTCCATTGAGATGCTAAGAAGAAACAGGTTGCAATGCACCATAAAGCTCAGAATATTGTTCTGGCCATATCCCAGGCAGAGTGCTTATTCTTCACAACAACATGGGTCCTGCCTTGCTCTTCGCTGCATTTTTTTTTCACTGTTTCACCAGTTCTACATCAATGAAGGCCTTTCAGCCACTTTGTTACATTCAGCCTATAGTATTGTAGTCTGTATATCCTTTGCCATTCAAATCCACTGGGAGAGGGACAGTTGCTCTGTTATGTAAATTCTTGGAAGGATGAAAGAAATAGCACTCTGTAGCATAATATTACGTTCTAAATAACCTCAATTAAGATCTTGGTGGAAATTTTTACATACCTTCTGAAGAAGAGTTTTCTGCCTGGAAACCCTAATTACTGGTTCCCATAGATTGCAACCTTCCGTCAAAGTATTAGGAACTTTTCCTCTTAGCTCCATTGACTTCCTAGAAGTTACTGGGTTATAATTTGATGCTTTCTCTCACCTTCAGCCAGAAATCCCTGTTCTTATCACTAGCCTCAAGCAATTGACTCTCTCCATCTCTTATTCTCCAATCCCTGGAGATTTTCTTGGTTCTGAGTTGTAATTTTTCTCTTCCCTTACAAGTTCAGCATGGTTGCTATCAGTTTCTTTCTCTTGGGTTTCCTCAGCTCACTTCTCTTCTTGGAAACCAAAACTAAATGGCAGTTTCCAGTCACCATCTTGCTCACATCTTTCAGGTACCTCTTTCCCTTTGCTCCAGATGTTGTTCCTCTTTTTCTTTCCCAGGTGCTTCCTCTCACATCTCCCAGCTCTCCCCCCCTCCTTTGTCAGGACCAAGGGAGGTACTTAGGAGAACCAGTTAGGCCAGTCTCAGCAAGTGTCTTCACTCTCTCTCCACCCTCACCCCGTTGGATTTTGGAGTCAGTATGAGCTCTCCTGCCACCCTAAATTTAGGATTCTGCATTGGCTGCCTGGACGAATGTGGGGGAAGGGAAGAATTTGCCAGGCTTCGCCTCAGTGTATGGGGATTACTCATCCACTACGCTGAGCAAGTACTGCAACGTGATACTATTAAAGACAAAAAATGCAAACTAGCCTAGTGAGAACACTGGGCACCGGCAAGGTCGGAAGGGAACGCTGAAGAGAAGCAACACATATTGGCAGCGACTTACAGAGGCTTTCGAACCAGTCTGACCGCAGGATTACCAAAGTAGCCGAGGAGCCTCCTTTTTTTTGCCTGCCAAGCCATTCACTTCCAGTTCAGGCAATCCGATAGAGCGATATACCTGTGGACTAGAGAGCTACAGCACGAAAATCAAGAGGCAAGCGCCTTTTCTATGGCTTTCTAAGCACCTGGAAGGAGGAGACCAGACGCAGAGTAAAGGTGGGGAGGGGAAGTGTAGGCTGTGCTACACATTACTGCCAAGCACGCTGAAAGCCACAGAAGCCAGAAACAGCCCCGAGATCTGACGGCGGTGCGAGAGCACGTCGGAGAAAGAGGTGGGGAGAGAAACGGCGGTGTCTCGTTGACAGTCCCGCCTGTCCGGACTCCCCAGTCCCAGCATGCAACGCGCCGCAGTTTGAATGGCGCTGCTGGGTACGGCGAGTGGGCCGCGGTGTTAGGACGCCGCCGCCGCTGCTGCCTATTCCACGGCTGGCACTGGAGGCCCGGGCAGCGGCTGAACCCCTGGGCGCGCTGGACCATGAGCGGCAGCAGGTGAGCGAACGCCGTTGCCGGGCGCTTCTCGAAGGGGCGGCGGCGGCCACGCTGCTGCATCCCGCGCTCTGGCCACGCAGGCCGGGCTCCGATTGTAAAGCGGGGTTGCTGTTTGGGAATGTGGCGGTGGCGCCCTTTTCTCTGCGATCGCCGTTCTTTGCTCTTCCTGGTGTGGGGTGATTTTTCTGGGCGCCTCAAAGCAAGAAGGCCCATCTTTTGCTGACTCTGTTGGCAGGAGTGTTCCTGGGCGGGGATATGAAGTTGGCTAGTCTCTACCTGCTCTGAACCACCCCCTTAAGTGGTGCTTGTTGGGAAGGTTGCACCTGCCCTGGGCTGCTGGAGGAAAGATTCCCCCGGTAGGAATTCTCTCTCAGGTTTGGCTTTGAAATAGAGAAACGTCTTAATACCATCAGTGTTAAGTCTTTCTCATGCTGAAAAGTCTGAAGAATGAAAAATGGTTCTAATTATTCTAGTTTTCTTTCAGACTACTTGGCTTTGTTTTCACAAAAGCATCTGGACTTTGGATGCCCAGAGTCTCTTAAAGCTGACTTTCTGCCACTTAACAAGAGTGAAGTCCTATTTGTCTGAATGGAATGGAATTAGCTTCGGAGTAAGCATGCTTAGGATTGCATTGGTGTGACTTTTCACATCCATTGATCATTTATGAAATTTTGCTACCTCTCTGTATTGCAAAATTCCACTCTGTCCAAAATCTTTTTTTCCAAAGCAAAAAATGCACATGTGGATCCTTGATGTTGAGAATTTAAATATGAAAATATTGTTATTAATCAATTGAGTAGTAATTTTGGTAGAGGATAAAAGCCCCTAGCTAACTTAAGGTTATTTGAAGACGTATCTGCAGATGGATTTTGTCTGCTTAATAGTGAGAGATCAAAGTGGAAATGCTACTAAAGATAAGTTATAAATCTTAAATGTTTCTAAATTACTAATCCCAGCAGATCAAGCCCAATCAGCATTGCCAATAAAGATGCTGGGATAAGTCATAAAAAGAGCCAGTTTGGTCTAGTGGTTAAGGCATCATCCTAGAAAACTGGAGTTCAAATCTGGCCTTAGTCATATAAGTCCAGCTGGGTGACTTTGGGCCAATAATAGGAAAATAATGTGTTGGATATGTTTGCTTCCTTGGGTTATATGTAAAAATAACAAAGGTGAGATACAAATAAAAAAATAAACCATACCTACAATAGTGATAGTATGACAGTGCAGAATATGAATTATATCTCTCTCCAGAATTCCCTCTTGGTCTCTAAAAGAGAGATCATGTATCCTAAAGAGAAAAACGACCAAGAGGTAGAAATAACAAACAAATTCAAGAGGATATGCTTTGTTGGAAAATGGTAATTAGGTACATTTCAGGAACCAGAATATTTAAAGTACTACCTCCTTGCATCTGAAGCTATAGATCATTTGGAGCTGTTACTGAAGTACCATAAAATAAGACCACCTCCCTCAAAGGCTCCATAAGAGGAGTTTTCTCATAATAGAGGCTCAGCTGATTATTTATTGGCTTTTAGGTAAATTCTTGTTTTCAGGTGGGTTGCTAACTGCTTTTTTAAAAAGCAAGGTTGCTTATTGTGAATGGCCTTATGGGCCAAATGGTGATGCATAGATTTTCTACAAATAAAATATTTTCCCTTAACTATTCTGCTTCACATCTTAGAGACTGGCAATAGATATATAGAAAGTAATCCTTTAAGCCACTTTACAGCAAGGCTTGAACTTATACCACATCACTTTAATTATGTTGGCTGGACCTCACTGACTCTTTAGAACAGAGTGTTTGGGTATTAGCTAATTCTACGTGTAGGTCCAGAGTATGACATTTAATATGTGTGTGTATCATCTAGATACCTCTTGCCTATCCCAGGGTATTTGCCATGTTATAATTTTTCCTTCACTTCAGAAGCCCATACCCTATATATCATTTTTTTCTTAGCTGTGTTTCCCCTCTCCCCATGCAACATTTTGTATATACAGAGATATTGACTGATTCATGCAATGTGGACTTCCCTTTTTTATCTGATTATTTCATTTATATAATTTTTAGTTTGCTTTCTGTCATCTCAAAGATTTGAGTCATTGTAGCTTACCATTTTGTGTGAATCAGACCATTGTGACTTGTTCAGCTACAAAGCAATGCTCAATTACTGGTGACTTCATTGATATGTCCATATAGTATTCCTGATACATTCTTGCAGGTGCAGCCCTGGTGTTCTGGTGGTATCCCATTTTAGTACTAACCAATTCAGATCCTGCTTTGGTTTTTGAGATCAGCCATGTGCTGCCAAACAAAACGGTTTTGTTTTGAAAAGTGAAGTATTATGTTGGAATTGAAAATAGTAACACCCCTTAGATATTCAGATTACTAAGAAAATTGGTGTTGCAGTTCTGTTTGTACTTATCTGACAATGAGTCCAATGGGACTTTTGATCATCTATGCAGTCCTGTCATTCTTACCTAAAAATAAGTTACATTGAACACAGTGGATTTCTGGATAAACCTGGATAGCATATTCTGCTAACTGAACTTTCTGTTTCATTATAAGAGGTGAATAGATATGCTCCATTTTTACTAAGTCTGAAACATGCCCTATTAAGTAAAAATGGTATAAATGAAGGTTTGTGTAATACTGATAAAAGTTGCTGGTAAGTATCTTCATTATTACAGCATACTGCAATGTGTAATGATAATTCTTTTGGTATACTGTTGAGGGTTTGCATTCTAATAGCTAACATTTAAAAAAACTGTGTAGTCCATGAGAAAATAATCCAAATTTCACTGAACTAAAGTTTTATAATAGCTATCATTTGAACTCCTTTGCAATCCAACTCATTAAAACTAGGAAAAAAGAGAGTTGCTTTATTTTTGAGCAAAGTCCTAGATGGTCAGAGTCTCCAGACATGCAAATTGGGCATTATGGAGTACAAGGAGTAGTTGTACTACGAGCTGTCCCACGCTTGATGGGAAGAAGGAACAAACAAATTCCAGATTCTAAAATCAAAACTGTTTGCATCCTCTACAACATGCACAAGTCACTTGGCTTGTGGAATGCAGAGTAGAAATCAATTATTTTAATGTTAATGAAGTTAGTAATAATTAAACTTGCTGTATTAGAAACAAAGATAAATTGGGTAGGATTAGCTAGTATTGGGAGGGAATTTGAGGATGTGAAATCCTCTTTCTCCTTATGGTTTAACAGATTAAAATCAGTTTTTTCTCATTTCTGTAGAAAAATAATTTAGGTTTGATACCAATTTTTCTTGTTCTCTTTCAGGAGTTTGTCGAATTACTTTTGACATTTTTTTAGAAAATTGTAATCTAATAATTGATATCTTTAAGCTTTATATATTTCATGAAGAAACATTAATATTTCATACCTTATTGTAACTATCACAAGAACTAATGATAATGTGCAAGTGGCTCTCGTTAAAATATCTGTGTTTTTTCCCATGATTAAAGCACTCTGTACACATCCTTGAGTTGACAATGCTGGCATAAAATGTGCTGTCCCTATTGCCAGTCCCTATCCCACTATTGCACCTGTTATGAATTATTGCTGATTGATTTTACTCAGAGTGTGAGCTCACTACTTGTTAATGGGAAGGTGATTGATTTCCCTATCCTCTGCCCCATCTTTACTCCTTTCCCCCAGCATGTCTCTTGCCAAAGGGGCCTGCCTCATGAATTGGCTGAGTCATTCTATCTCCCAAGTTAAAAATATATGAAATAAAGAAATACATGGAAAGACAACAAAGCGGAAATAACCCTAGAGGGGAGGGAGGCAGACATAATTATGAATTATCTGCTGGAAGTTGGGTGACATAAATTTAATAAATTACTGTGTGAATATGTAATAAATATATTACTCCTGGTGACTGCCCAGAGACTATTCCCTGCAATTTTCTTGATAAGATTTTTGGAGGTGTTTTGCCATTGCCTTCTTTCTATTGCTGACAGAGAGTGATTAATCCAGAGTCAACATCTTTGTATGTAAGGCAAGATTAGAACTCATGGTCTCCTGGTTTCTAGCCTGATGTCTAACCATTATACCAAACTGCAAGTAACTAATTTTTGTGGCATGGGATAACAGAAATATATCCCTCTATTTTTCCAAATTAACTTCTGCTTTGCTTGCCTCTACCTCATTAAAAACCTAGAGAGAAATTGATTAGAGAATTGATGGGGGGTAGGATGGAGGAGAAAGAATGCAATTATGAAAGGATCTCAGGAGCATCAGACAATGGAAGAGGAATTGCTGTGGCAAAGACTGGCTAGTGTCTGGAGGGGAGTGCATGTCTCTACCTCCTAGAATTTCCCAAAAAAACCCCAAAAAACACTTTTGGTACTGAAGAGGTCACCTGACTTAAAAATAGGTGAGAGAATGGAAGAAACCTTACAGAGTGACAAATTTTATATACCATAGTGGTGAGACATAGGTAGTCCTCAATTTACAGCCACAGCTGGGACTGGAATGTAGGTTGTTGAGTGACGTGGTTGTTAAGCAAAATGCCACGTTGCTTCCCATCTGACGGGACTCCTGGTTGTGGTCATTAAGCAGGATTTTCAGTCCCTGCTGAGTGGAGA